AGAGGCAAAGAAAAACGTGTAGACATCCTTTTAGTTGGCATGAGGTAAATACATGAAAAGAATTTCATCTTGTAAGACGTAAAAGTATTGTTTATAGTGAAACCAAATTAAAAAAAAAAAGTTAACTTGGCAGGCATTGCACTAAAATTTAATTATTTTGAAAAATTATATGATTATTATATTTATATGATCCTGTTTTTGAAACTTTGGCCTTCCCCGTCAAGTGGATGGCACTGGTCACAGGGTAAAAGACTAAAAGCAGTAGGGGTGATGAAGAGACAAAAAGACAAGAAATCAGAGTGCAAGATTTTGTTATTAGGGTCTAAAATACATAAACTGCCATTAATCAAAATGATTTAACATTAGTCACCAAATTAACGTCAAACTAATGATGGTGGTTTATCACCATTAAGTGCCTCCTTGATGCAAAATCGCAGTGAGATTTCTCTTTCCATATCCTTTATTCAACACCTTTCGCCTACCCACTTCATTTAAAACATTTTTGGTGGATTTCGCAGTCCCTCAACAACCGTTTCTTCAGTTATGCGTGTTGCCTAAACTAAATTTTCTACTAATTATTCCCTCTCGTCCTATGTACTGGACCCCCTATAACCATGCACTTAACAGAAATCAAGAAATTTGGCTAATTTAACTAGTGCCATTAAATTTGCCGATAATTTATATAATTTTTTTTGTCCAGGACTACTTAAGAGTATTTGTGTTAAAAAGGTGAATACAACAAACAATTTAGAAGAATAAAAAAAGACCAAGACATACTTCTCCAAGGATTCTAGTGCTGCCAACAAGAAGAAACACATATATATATATATACATGATCTTATCCTGATTGATTGTTTCTTCGGTAACATATATTCGAAGAGAGGGGAAAACTTGAGTTTGGTAATTAGATGTACTCATCTGGTCCTTTAATATAGGACCTAATTATTGAGTTGGTTTTGGTATTAAATATAAGACTCATTTCTCATATTTATTAATTTTCTCTAAATTATCCCTATAAATACTCTCTCAACCATGATCAAGTAGAAGATGGAGAGAATGTACTGAGAAAGATGATTATGGTGTTTTAGGAAAAATGTATCACATTTCTTATAATCAACTAACTTACCTAACTTCCTTAATCTAATTAAATTAGTTAAATGGGTCTTATATTAAGGACGGGAGGAGTATTTCAAATATTTTTACGTATATACATATGGGAAAACTTAACTGGTTACTCGGAAAAAAGGGGGAAACAGTGGTAAATAATAAATTGAATACATACAGCCTATAAGGCATGGGATGGAGAATATATTTGGTGGAAAACCTGGCATGCCTTCACTTTGCACTTAGAATTATATATGGGTGCGAGATATTAAAGATAAACTTTTTGTAAAAAATAATTAAAGAGGGGGGTTTAATTATATTTGAGAGACAGGAGTTGGCTTTCTTTTTGTATTCTAAGTTGTTGTTGTAGGCAAAACCTTGGGTAGGAATAATACAAATGGAAAACTACGTTCTGATCATTTTCTTTCTACTTTATTGCCTTTCCTGATTGCACCCTTTTACCGCACTTCCTTCGTTAACATGTTTGTTTATTTGTTTGCGTGTGTGTGTGTCTCTCTGTATATATACTGCCACCAGAAACGACTCGATAGAGATTTGTGTGTGACTTGTTCGTCTGCATATCTGATCTGGCTTTTCATTCTCTGAGTATTAATCGATCAGAGAAAATGGGCAGGAAATGCTCGTATTGTGGAAACCTTGGCCACAATTCAAGGACTTGTAATATTATTCAGAGAATTGGCTTTGATGGTGGCCTCAAGATCTTTGGAGTGCAATTTGATCTTCCTCCTCCTCCTTCGTCTTCACCTACTAATTACAGTTATGGCATCAAAAGAAGTTTCAGCGTGGACTGCTTGCCGTCTTCCCAGAAAACCTTCATGTCTACCGCATCGTCCTCTTCATCTTCCTCCTCCTCACGTTCCCCGCTTGAACCCAAGGACAATTCAGATCACAAAATGTCTGATTCTTATTCAGCCGGAAGAACCCAGGAGATGAAGAATAAAGGTGAAGAATAAAATGCAAAGCACAGCATATACAGAGCGTACACACACACACACACACCCATCTGTATAATATAATGATTCTGTGTAATTGTGGTCATCATCATCAGGAGTGCCATGGACGGCGGAGGAGCACCGGATATTTCTGATAGGGCTGAAGAAGCTGGGGAAGGGTGACTGGAGAGGCATCTCTAAGAATTATGTGACAACAAGAACACCAACCCAAGTGGCCAGCCATGCACAGAAACATTTCCTCCGTCAGAATCACGCGAATAAAAGAAAGCGCTATCAAACGCTTCTTGATGTGAGTACTTCATTGCTTCTTCACCATTCGCTTTTTTATAGCTAAGTTCAGAATTTGTGTTGATTATATATATGTTGCGGCAGATGGATGGACAAAATAATAACAGAGTCGAACCAGTAAAATATTCGCGCTTTTCTAAGCCCATTGAAGCTGCTGGGGCTTCTGAGACTATGAATATCGATGTCAGTTGCAGCAGCCACAGCAATGGCAAAAGGATTTGTCTCTCTCGGTGCCTTTCAAGTTATCATTCAGTGCTTAATTGGTCTGCCTCTTCACCAAAATGCGCTCTTCACAGCCTAGAACCTGATTTAGAGCTCAGGCTTGCGGCTCCACATTTTCTTTAAGTTGACGTGTAATTATATATGTACGTAGCACATGATCTAAACATAACCGTCCGAGATTGTAATTCTTGTTCTGCTACATATATATACGTATTAGTGGATTATAACTCTATTATGCATATTTTAATTTCTATGTGCCTCTTCCTGTGAGAGCTATACGTAGGCAAAGCTAAATTTGATTGCCTCTGTTGTCCAAGGAGCACTTAAAACAATAGGGATTCATAGTTGATGACTTGACGCATGAGACATGGTTAAACCATGGAAATGGTTTCGTAAAATTTCTTCCAACTTGGATGCTAATATACAGCTTTTGCAGGTAAGATCCTTTAGCAGCGAGAAAAAAATTAGGTTCATTAAACCAAGAAGCATATATGCATCAAGAGCATAGGAAAAAAAACCATGCAAAAAAAAAAAGAGGATAAAGGTGTATCCACCACCCTTGATTTTTTTTTCTTAGCGCATCCAGCACTCTAATCTTTTTTTTTTATTTTTTATCCAGCAATCTAAAAACTAGGATGTTGAATGCACTATGGTCGATCGTATCAACTTCTAATCTGATCTCACTGTCAACAGGATATAGCATAAGTGTGCATATCCCTGTGATTAGAACCCAAGGAACTTTTTAGGACATGTCAGTTTGATGTCGTTTGACTCTTTGGGTGTCGGTGAAAGTTATGTTGTTATCAATGTATGTTATCTTTGTTTGCATAAAGCTATTTTTTGCACCTAAATTTTCATAGGGACTAGCAAACATGAGAGGATAGTCCTAACCATGAGGTTTTTCAAGTATTTGAGTTTCCAACTTTGTTCTTTGCGTTCCTTTAAAATCCAATGCTGCACGGAAAGAAAGGGAAGAGAAAATATTTAGTTTAGTGTGTTCGTTTTTAACTAATCAAAATTCAAATCTCTCTAGATTCAATTAATCATGAAATATGTGGACAGAAGAATTGGAGGAGCTGCAGCTAAAAGGACAAATCTTTTAACCAATAATAAATTCCTTCGGTTCTGGCAGTGTTCACTTGGAGGCGGTCTCAAATGGCTTTCCATTTTTATTAATATCTTTTTATAGATAGACCACTTTTAGATTTTTGTCTAGAGAGAGTCTATTGGTAGCAATGTTTTAATTATGGTTCACGAGGTCTATTGCCTCCTTGGAGCTTGTCTCCAATATAAATGGAGTTTCGATTTCATATTTGAGATCGAAGTGAAAATGATCACTTGTTTGAGAGAATCAAAAACTATTTTTATGAGTCAGTACTGAGTAGCACATTTAGACATGTAGGTTTAAAATTTGACATTATTATAGTGTGCTAAAAGATTTTTGTCCTTAAAATAGCATTTTTGGGTTCTTAAATAAGATTTCAAGAACCAAAATCATTCGTTACAAATTTCATAGACCAAAATCAAAATAAGATCAAATTTAATGATGAAATCAATTCTATTCAAGACATTGTCGGACACTAAATATGAATACCGCTCCTAGGAAAAATTCAAATCTTGATTCGTGAAGAGAAATGTCTCCACTTAACTTCTTTTCTACTTTCCTCCACTTCCTATCTCTCCCATTAGATAAACGTCCAGTGTTTTATGTTTAATATATTATAACAATACTATTATAATATTAAATAATATAAACATATTTAACCTATATATAAATATTATCATAATCAGAGTGCAGAGGATAAAAAAATGAACAGGAATTATAATATATTTTAATAAAGATCTACCCAAGTGATGTATGTACTGTTCAATTAACATTATAATAATTATTATAATATGTTAAAAATTAATCATTATAGATAGTAAGTGAAGGAAATTGGAGAAAAAACTAAGTGAATGCATTCCCCTCCTTCCCACTTCGTTGTTGTGCTTGCTAGATTAAAACATCAAATCGCGTGGGGTTTCATAAAAACTCAGGTGCATCAAAATTGCTTTTGAAAAGCCACGGCAGAATCGCTAATACTTCATACGCCTCAATGACCCTTTTGCTCCTCTTGTGACAGGGAAGATGCAGGTTCAATTCAAATTCTAGAGTGAGAGTGAAAGGTGGGCATGCTTCCCCCAGATAGAAAAAGGGTAAATATGGGCGTTCGCATTCGGTGCTCAGCATACTGCTGAGCACCGAGTGCTCATCACGGAAACGACGCCGTTTACGTAAATGAAGGTGACGTCATTTCAATCTATGCGATATACGGCCTCCCATTCCCACGTTCTCACACACCGAACCTCTTCACTCCATTTCCTTTCTCACGCCTCTTTCTTCTCGGCCATTGATTCACTTTCTTCTTATCGAAAGTTTCTTTGATTCTTTGCGTTCTCGCTATCTTTGCGGTTTCTTCCGATTCTGCTAGCGATGCTCAGGCGCCGTCAGTGGATTGTTCAAACCTCGTCTTAACCATGGCCGATTGTCTTTCCTTCGTCTCCAATGGAAGCACCGTCAACAAGCCTGAGGGAAATTGCTGCTCTGGCTTGAAGACTGAGCTTAAGACCGACGCTGGTTGCCTCTGTGAGGCCTTCAGAAGCAGTGATCAGTTGGGCATTGTGTTAAATGTTACCAAGGCCGTTACTGTTCCTGCTGCTTGCAAAGTCTCTGCTCCTTCCGCTGCTAACTGTGCATGTAAGCAATTCTTCTTTTCTTCTGCTTAATCGTGCTCTGTTTTTTTTTTGGGTCCCTGATTTTGTTTCTTTGCTTTCTGATCTTGTGATAATGACACAGAAAAATGTGATTCATCTTTGCATATTCTTTTTACTTCGAATGGGGAATAATCCGAATTGGGGAAACTATCCTTGTGTTTACAGTGTTTTAGTACTGTTTTTCTTTTGAAAGAAGCTTTTCAATTTTTTGCGTATCGGAGAAAGGCCTTTGGCTGTTCTGCTGTTAATTTGACCGTTTGAACGCATTGATCTGGATTTCTGACCCCTTTCCTCTAAAGTTGACATTGATAATAAACACCGCGCAATTAGTGGAATTTATTGACGCCGATCAAGTAGTTTGTGTTTTTGACCTTGAACGCCGTTCAAGTAGTGAGACAATGAAACTTTGGTGAATAAAATATTGCAGGGTTAGATTTAATTATTGAACTTGAGGCAGCTATATTTTTTTTCTAGATATTGGTGTTTCATGTCATGGCCCCACTTGATTTAATTTCTATGATTTTGATCTGGTGTTTTCTGCATTTCTAGACTCATACAAGATCTAAATTGCTGTTTTTCCCCTTTTGTGCAGTGTCTGAAACTCCTGCCGCTACACCAAGTGGTAAGTTTCTCAGGTCTTAACAATAGAACATGCTGTTTTCCCCCAGTTTTAGATTAAAAAGTCCCAGATAATGATAAACTCATTTGAGATTTTCTGGATTTTCGTCTTCAATTGCCTTCTATATTCTGAATATATTCCATTGGAAAACAGTTAATGATTTAATCATTATATATTTTATACATACTTGTGTATATATTTGGTGGACCTCGGAGTTCATATGATCAACAGATGTGTATATATTTGGTGGACCTCGAAGTTCATATGCTCAACAGATAATCCAAAATTCTAATGCTTGCGTCTACCTAATTCAAGTGGGTCCATAAGTAAATGTAGGTGATTAGACTCTATTTATTTACATATGAAGAAGCATTTCATTTTCCATACAGCGCATATGATCTCACTTTACAATGTCTTCAATTTCTTTGTTAATTAATAACAAAATGCAACTAGCATGATTAAGGAACAGTCAAATCAACAGCATTCGTGCCCTTCATTTCCCCCAAATTAACATGCTCCCCACAACGTTGTCCCTTTCCCTCTTGGTAGGGATATTTACAGCTATCAATGCAATAATGTTAAGTTTGAAACATCTTTGACCATACATTTAAAAGTTTCCCAAAAAGTACTCCAAATTCACTGAATCAATCATTAGAGTGCATGTTAGCAAATTTGCAATTTTTTATGAGTGAGATCCTCCTCTTACACTTTCATATGTATCATTTTTTTTTTGGTGTGATACTTTCATGCATATCTTATTTACTAATTTGTCTTATCTTTTATATATTGTCTATTTAAGAATCTCTATTCTGATTCTCAACTCAAGATTTCTGTTTTCTTCAATTATAAGAATGACATCGAATGTATCCAGAGAGAATTAAGGGAAAAAGATAAGTGGCCCCGATATGTACTACCCTTCTATCAGTCACAGCTACTACAGAGGATTCAGAAAGATGGATGTAAATTGTAAAGTGAAAAAGTCACCTTAATCCATAGTCATTTCTTTCCTCTAATGTTTCCCTCTCTGAATATATGATTTCATAACTGTGAAAAGATCTATGATCACTCACAGTTTACAAAGATGGATATGAACTGTAAAGAGAAAAGGAGGCCTGACAATTATGGCATGTTTGTATTGATGATTTGTGTGATTCAAGAGGCTTGACATCTCCGGTATCATCTCTGCCATCTGGTACGAGTGGTGAAGAAGCACCTGAAGCATCTGGATTTGGTGGTGAGGCAGCAAATGAGATATCTCCAGCACCATCCCCATGCAACACGTTGCATGCAAAAAAATGGAGCAATGAAAGTGTCATCCTGCAAAAATCATTCCATGCTCCAAGGGTGAACATAAACAGCATACAAAAAAAGTGTCCAAGAAGCTATGCAATGTTGGTGCATCCAACAGAAAGTAGCCAGCAAAATCTACCCTGTATGAAAAAGTAACTAGTTAGGTTTATATCATGTGATGGATGAGATAATCTTTGTATTTAGCAAGGAAATGTACTGGTAATTTAAATTGTATACAAAAATATTGAAATGAATAAAAGAATATTCTTTTTTTGACTACCTTGTGAATAATTTGCAGCAATGTCTATGACTTCAAGTGATGAGATTTCTTTTTCTTCAGCTGCCTGGATTTTCGAATATCAATGATTATGGGTTAATGGTATGATAACTACATTTAATTATTAGCAGTAACTAATTTATTGATTCTTACCATTAATAAACTTGTAAACGACAATGGTTGGGAAGTGGGTAGTGGAAAAACAGATTGAGTTGGAGATGATAGGTATGACAATGTTGAATCTTGCATTTGTGTAGGTTCTGTTAAAATTGTTGTAGCCTGAAATGGTAGAGTCTCATGTGTTGGTGCATCTTCTTTTTTTGAATCTTTTCTTCTTTTCCTTGATGCTGAAGCCTCTTGAATGCCCTATAGAAAAAACAAATATAAAACCAGTGACACTTTTTTCTTTTGTATAAATGTAAATTAAATAAAATTAATTACCTCTTGCTCTCTTGTAAGTCGTCTTCTAATCATTAAATTTTTTTCCTCCCAACCTTTCCATCGCCGCTTTCTTTTTTTCCCTTCTCTCTTTTTGAATCCCTTAGGAATATTTTCTGACCCTCCCATTGGTGCTATACTTGGGTTAAGAACATCTTCATTATTGTTCGGAACTTTATTTTCTATCTCAGTGATGTATTTGTCAACACACTCAAAACTTTCATGAGTCTTTGCCGCATTTGTTGCCAATCTTACCATCTTATACATTAAGTGTCTAAATCTTCGTGTGATTTCAAGTTTAGGATCTCTTTGTATCTCACTCCCCCTAACATCATACACAACACCACTCCTTGCTTCCCTGGTCCATCGCTTAATAATGTATTGCTCAGGCATAATTCTCACATCATTTGACTCATACACCTTCAATGCATGACAGCACAATATCCTAGTGGTTTCAAACATTCCACAAGTGCAAGATATTTCATGTGTATCAGGTTTAAACTCAATTCTCCATTCCCCTTCTTCATCAATCATGTGGGCAATGTATATGTATAATGGTCCATTTTCATCACGTTGAGTTAACATCACAGAGAATTGGAGATCCCATTGTGCTTGGAACATGTCAAATGCACCAGGGGTATAAGTTAGCACAAGTTGACGCAATATAGGCGCACTCTGATTGACCATCCTAGGAATTTTTTGCCGGGAATCAAACTCAAGTTTCAATTCCTTGTCTCGCTTCTCTGAAACAACTTTGTCAAAAGTGGTAAAGAATTCATTGATATCTAAATTTGGAGTTGTGCATCTTTTTACATCAGCATTCACACTTTCACTAAGCTGTGTACTTCTCATGCCTAATGTGCAAGCATTCTTTACATAGCACCAAGCCCATTTCTCTTTGATATTATACATGGAAGTCAACCATGGATTGTTGTGGACATCATAAGAAGATATTAATTGGCTCCATGCTTCTTCAAACTTTTCTTCCTCTGAAATTTTAGACATGCATTTACAGAAGTCGGTCAAAAAATGTGACCCATCTTTCATTAAATTTCCAAGGTGTTTAATACCATTTTGCTTTAAATGCCAAGTGCATAAACAATGCTTTGTATCAGGAAGAATTTCACTCAAAGCTCTTGCCATTGCTTGATCTTGATCTGTAAACACAGTTTTAGGCTTTTTCTGCATATGAGCTTCCAGGAAAGTTTCTAATAGCCACTTGAAAGACACAGTGGTCTCGTCATACAACAATGCTGCACCAAAAATGACTACACTTCTGTAATGATTAAAGCCAGAAAATATTGCAAGAGGTCGATGATCACGGTTTGTACAAAATGTTGTATCTAGAGATAAAACCTCACCAAAAAGTGCATAATCTATTAGCATTCCAGCATCCGCCCAAAACACATTAGTAATTTCTTCTTCTGTGTCCACCTGATATTTATGGTAGAATGCAGGATTCGCTGCAAGCTGCTTTTGAAAATATTCAAACAGACATCTTACCTCTCCGTATTTCATACTTTTTTGCCTTCTAGATTGCAAATAATTTTGCATATCAACTTGAGTATATCCAAGATTTGCTTTGCCTCCGGCATATGTACTCATTAAATCAAATGTAGCCTTCTGTTGAAGTCCAGACTTTCTTGCTAGCTCAATTCCATAAGCATCAACTTCTGATAAGTTTCTTTGAGATGCTAACAAGTGCACAGTTTCTTGTGTGTGAAGGGGATGATTATGCTCTTCATCAAATTTAGTAATTTTATGCCTCTGATCAACAATAGATACTATCATTTTTGCCTTGCAGTTAGTCCTTGTTTCTGCTCGGTACTTAGAAGAATATGTCTCCTGTTTACCTTCTTTTCGAATACCCTCTTTAGAACACACATATCTATATGTAATAAGTGATCCATCTTTTCTGCTTTTTGTACCATTATACTTTCTAGCCCCAAAACCAGTTCTTCTAGCATAATCTCGCCAAAATTCCCATGCTTCGTCCCAGCTTCCAAACTCTTTTCCTATTTTGGGTTTCAATTCATCCTCCATTGTAAAGTTCCTGTACACAACAAAATCCTTATATATTTAAAACATATCATAACTTCATTTTTTTAAAATAAATAGAAAAACTAAAATAATAATTTCATTTATTTCACATTGAACTCTAAATATCATATATACACAAACACATATATGCATCAAAATGGATTGTTAGTGTATTAATCCATACGGTTCAACATATCTGACAAAATTCCTCCTCGGTGGACCACATAAATGGAATGTTCTACTTTAAAAAAAATGAATGCGTTTGTTAATTAAAATTGCACTAAATAAAAAACAATTCACAAGATTTTTTATGAATTGGGAAAAAAAACTTCACCTCTTTTGTCAGAATAAACTTCACCTCCAAATTAGTTTTCCCATATACATATATATATATATATATATATTGTAATTAGACACCGAGAGCTTTTTGGCATATTCCAACATTCCAAATAGATTATATGTTTCGGTGAGCTTTTGGCATATTCCAACATTCCAAATAGATGATATGTTTCGGTGAGCACATGGTGGTCCCTTCAATATATATATATATATATATATATAGTAATTAGACACCCATTGCTTTTTGGCACATTCCAACATTCCAAATGGATACTCTGTTTCGGTGAGCACATACATGGTGGTCCCTTCAATATATATATATATATATATAATATCAGATTTGGATTTACTTTTTAGGCAAGATTCAATAGGAAAAAAAATTACCCGTTCCTTCTTTCTTCCCTGGGTCCAACGTCTCTTCCTTCTCCCTCTTTAAGTCGAGCTTCATGTAGTCCATCTCTGTTTTCTTTTTCTGGTACAGTAACAGTGTCCAACAATCCTTCCATTCCTTCATCCTCCTCCATTATCTCCAACCAGTCTCTCTTGTCTCCCCTCTCTATTTCTACACAATCCATCTCCTCATTGGCTTTGGTTTCAGGTTGGCGGGATATTTGGAATGGACGCGGGAATGAGAAAGAGGCGTGAGAAAGGAAATGGAGTGAAGGTGTGTGAGAACGTGGGAATGGAAGGCCGTCTATCGCGTAGATTGAAATGACGTCACCTTCATTTACGTAAACGGCGTCGTTTCCGTGATGAGCACTCGGTGCTCAGCATACTGCTGAGCACCGAATGCGAACGCTAAATATGGGTGGGAAACCCTCCCCCCCCCCCCCCCCAAAAAAAAAAAAGACCGAATCATACAATTAACACTTGACAGCGGGGAAGCGGCTAGAAAAGAAGCATTTGATATATTCAGACTACGCTATCAGAAATTAACAAGCACGACGGCTAATTCCCTTTCAAATTACATCATAAAAAAACAAAACCATATAATACATTTACAAACACTCCCCGCCAACCCAAAAACCCAAAAAAAAAAAAAAAGAATGTAACGTAGAGTACAAGAATGAATGGCAGCCCGATAACTTCAACCGTAGGCCTTCTTGTCAGTTAACTTTCTTTAACTCTTTTATCCTCCATCTTCCCCTGCTCTTCCATTACTGGGGTTTGGATGATGCCTTGATTGCTGGTCAGTTACGTACACAAGTATTCACCAAGGAAAAAGTTCAAATGACTCGAGAAAGAAGTCGCAGTTAGTTAGGTTAGTTTTCTTTTGAACACCGTGGAGAACCCCGTCAAAACTTAACATGCAATTGTGGAAATCCCTTGTCCAGAATAGTGCTAAGAATCATGTGCTTCTTGGTCCATCAAAATGATCCTCTGCTTACCACTTTCTGACCGGAGGGCATCGACCTTAAATCCCATCTACATTCAGAAGGGACATATAAGACAGCAGATATATCGGTTAAAAACTGAAATTTTAAGAATAAATGATTACCTCCACTAAACTGTCAGGAGAGAACCACCTCAATAGCACACCAAGATGCACTACAGCAGGGATTAGCTTGAAAAGTAAAGGAGTAGTAACCTGCAGAAATGAGGTAAATGAGTTATTAATGGGATTATAACTTCACAAAAGACATCAGTAACACCAAGCACTGAAATACTATACAAGGTTTCGTATAATATAATGTGAAGTTGGGTATAGTATTTACGTTGTTTCACTTTTTAACATTCATTGTAGATCAAACAACTAATATGCGAGTAAATGTTAATTCAAACAAATAAAAAATATTACATACCAGACTTAGAGCTGTGGTCCCAAGAAGAAGCAGATACAGTTTGCCCTGAAAATAGATTTGCATTAAAGTCCATGCTGATTCTTGATATTTACGCATTCAGGTTTCGGTGGGCATCAACACACGTGGGTTAAACAGATCTAACTTGTCCAAGCATGTAAACTCCAGAATTTTAAAGAGGTTTAAATACGATGGCCACAGTCACCGCAATAGCAGCAAGGTCATTTCTTTTATGTCACAAGAACATGAAGCAACTGAATGTCACACAACGCAAAGTCATTTTTGCACTAACCTCCACTAGATGAAGATTCGAAGCACGGCTGAGAAGAACGAAAGCAAATTCTCCAATTTGAGCCATTGACATTCCAACCTATAAATATTCATGAATTCATGTATCTCAGATACTAGAAGATGGAAAGATAACAGTATAACCTTCAAATCACTTCATATTTCTTACAAGAACTGAAGTCTTGTTGTTGTATCCAAACCCCTTCACGACAGCAGCAATTACGACAGTTTTCACAACAATGACCAAAATAACAGATGCCAGCAATATATCAACATGGCTCCAGAGGAAGTGAACATGGATCAGCATTCCAATGCTGGCAAGGAAAAGAGCAGCAAAAAGATTGCGAATAGGTTCAATCTGCACAATTATTGAGCAACAGGGGTCAGGTTCCTTCCAAATGCTTTTACGAACACCAAACATTACCGTTAGCTAAGAGCTTAGATTCTTGAACTAATCAGCAAAGTTTTGCCATTTTTCTTAGGCAGGTGAGAAAAAGATTGTACGGCTAAGATCAAACAATAATGGCAAAAAGAAGTGGAAGATAACAGAGTATAGATAAAAGAAAATGCACGAGCTCTATATAAAAATCTCAACAATTTAAACCTGCACATGATGAGGAAAAAAAATCATCCACTATGCAGAATTAATGAACACAATTTTTTTAAAAAATACTTACAAACATCGCTTTCACTCTCTATACAAGCCATTCTATCATGCACTTGGAGAGTTTACAACAGAGAGCCAGGATCGCATCTATAGGCATGGGACTCGCATGGATTCCACATATGGCCACCATCCTGACCCCCCATTGCGGATGATTAAATTACACTACTGATGTAAGACGGTGAAGGGTGGGGGAGAGGGGGAGAAAATTTCAGAAGAGAGGGTAAAAATAGAAGGAAACTGAGAGAGATATCGATTATCTAAAATAATAATAACAACAATCTAAATCTAATAAATCCTAAAAGATAAGATAGAGCTAAAACAAAAGGCAAATCTTATTAAATCCTAATCCAACTAAATTCCCGAGTTTTCAAATTAAAATTAAATATAATTATAAAATAACTTAAATTCTAGATTTGCTATGTCTATACGTCTCACAGATTTCCAGCGACAATTTATGTCGATAAGCCTGCCATGTCTCCTCAAAACCAAAAAAGACATATTATAGCTTAACAGAGACGTTACAAATTCCCTGCTCATAATAATTTCTGAATTTGGAGATGCATCCTTACTTGCTCTAGTGTATGTTGAGCTAGATCAGTGGTTGCAATCATCACTCCAGCAGCAAATGAACCCAATTCTAGACTTAGTCCCAGCTTATCACTACACTGAAAACATAAAAACAATCAAATACAAGGAACTTGACACGAAATAGCATGCATATATGGTATTAGCGGGGGAAGAATACAAGATACTAAACTCAAGCAATGGAAGAAAGTGCACCCTAGACACTTAAATCTCCATTCTTAACAGCCCACAAATGGCCAGCATATAGTGCAGTAAGGAAGAGGTAGAGAGAACAAAAAAGAAAGGAGGAGGAAGAAGAAAAATGAAGGTGTTAAGAGAGGAAGTGGATATGCTCCCACTTTTCTATCATTCCCTATTTCTAACAGCACAACTATAGTGAGATGAAGATTTAGGAGGTGAACAAACCCATGCTACAAGTAAGCAGAATGCAACCGATGCCAGCTGATAGAGTTCATTTGTCTGCACAAACAGGAGGTTATCATGATACCACTCAAAGAAAAATACATAATCAAATGGTAAAACTTTCTGAAGAACCTAATTCCAACTCAATTTTCATAAGTGATGGCAAGCTTAAAGTAGGATATAATACAGACCTGTGATGATAGGCTCATCATTAGTTTAAGTAACCATGGAAGGAAAGTACGAGACAAAATTGACAGAACTGAGAGGAACGCAATCAGCGTCACTAACCTGTACAAGGAAAGGCACACCACGGAAATGTCACATAAAAGCTCTAGAGGGTATGTTATGTCAGACAATCGATTGAATACACAATCAAACTGCTCTAACATTTTAAAGAGGTTCCAAGCTGTTTCAACTTCAAAGACATGTAAAAAATCTGTCACGCTAAATTTGAATTCCAGGCAAAGTAGAGCTAGTATTAGGTAGTCATTTGTTAAACCAAATAAACCCAATATCAAAGTCAAATTACCATATAAAACATAAGCAAATATGTGCCACTGAATAGTTTATGTTAACAGCAACACATTTTCAAATTTCAAAGGATCAGGCACAAGTATAATCTTCCTATTAGATCAAGGTGCTCCTCACTTCAATGTACAAAAAATTAGATTAACTGATTAAGGCACCATGTAATTCAAAAGTGATGATATGATAAATTAACTACATACGTATACAGCAGAAGTATTTAATGCTACACTGACAATAAATTATAATTACATTAATTCGGGTACAACAAGCGGTCAAGTTGTGAAAGATTCCATAAAAGCTGAAGATTTCAGATGTTCTGTACTTACAGTTTCGTCATGGATATCACCCCATGAAGAACACCTGAGGTGCCACCAAGAACTGGAAGCAATGCAAATAGCAGTCCAACAGCACAATCCTTTAAGGCAAAAGAACTTCACAAGAATTAATAGAACATATGATGAAGTTGTTCGTTGTCTATATAGGCAAAATAGAGAATGCAGAAATGAATAAAGCATGAGAAAGAAGAAAAACAATTTCATCCACAAACAAATACCTGCAAAATAAGTGTCCCAATTGTGACTTGTCCATGAAGGACGTTAGTGGTATTCTTTTCCATCAAATACTTTAAGACCTGGACACAGTTAATAGTTACAAAACAAACAATCAATTTATTGGAATCCCAAAATGCATCCTCAAAACTGCAATATAGGAATATGATCAGATAAAGTCTCAACATACCACTGCAGTTGAAGACATAGAAAGAAAAGAACCAACAAAGACTCCCTCTGAAGCTTTACCACCACATAACTGCATATAGCACAACAAGGGTGATGGAGTTTAGAATACTAAACATCAAAGTCCACTCGTCCTTGTAGAAGAGATATTTACTTGATAGAAAAAAAGACAATCAAATTATGCATGAGATATAAGGTGGAAAAGAGGTAACAAAATGAACACACCAGCTACCATCAGAATTCATGACTAAGTTGATCATAGTTCCACCACTTAGGCTTAAAATATTTTACATTATATTTTTATGGGGGGGAAAATGTTTTTTTTCCCCTATCCGTGTTACTTGTCAAGCATTCTACGTTTCCATGAGCATCAAGCATCACAAAGTTTGCAAAATATAGAAGAGAAAACATCCCAGAAAGAAGATAGATAATGAGAAGATGCAAAAACTTATACCTCGTTTATCATGTCACTCAATTTTTCCCACAAAATTTGGGTTACTGCAAGTTAAAACAACCAATTTTTACTTAATTTTGGGGCTTTTGAAGATCCTTGATTCAATTAACAAGCACTT